TATAGTACTAACTGAAACGTGGCTCAACTTTAAATCAATAGCGTCGAAGTATTTTCTGCTCATCCTGATTTATATGTTTTTTGTACTGACCGTGACAGCCGGCGTGGAGGTAGCGTGCTCATTGCTACTCACAGAGACCTTAACTGCTTCCGCATCAATATACCTACCTCTCTTGAAATGGTGTTTGTGGCCTGTAAAGCCGCTCATCCGCACGTGATCTTAGGAGCATGCTATCGCCCGCCAGATTCCGACAGCACGTTCATTCCCATGTTTCATGGCGCGCTAGAAACCCTGAAGACTCAATTTCCTGCCACAGTTGTCTTATTCGGCGACTTTAATTTTCCGAATATAGATTGGTCTGATCTCGTTTTCGTCACATTGAAACAAAACATTGAAAGCAAGTTTGTCGATACATGTTTAAAGTTTTCCCTAACTGAAACTGTTAATGCAACAACAAGGCAATGAAAAAATTCTGACTATATACTTGATCTCGTATTAACCACCCGTCCTGAGAGAATCACCTCCATTTCATACCTCGATGGAATGAGCGATCATAAGGTCATTCATGGTTTTTTTTTTCAATGTAGACTGAACCGGCCCACGAAAACAAGCAAAGAGCTCACCTTATACGATAATAGCGACTATATCAGCTTCCGTATAGAATTAAAATATTCTGGCAATTATTATTCAAAGATTTCAATGAAAGGTCTGTTACAATAAATCGGTTAATGTTTAAATCCAAGATGCATGAGCTGATCAGTACTTACACTTCAGCCATCGAAATTCGTGAACTTAGCACATCCGGCTGGCTTAATCTTGAACTTAAAAGGCTTGAAAACAAGATGACGATTTTGCTCCACAAAAAGCACTAACAATACCGTCGCCTGGCAAAAATAGCCACAGAAAAACTGTACTGCTCTGCTGTAGATAAAGCAAAACGACTCTTTATTGAAACAACCTTGCCCAATTTACTCCGCACTAACCCCAAGCAGTTTTGGAAGGTGATTAACCCACGACACGAAAACAAATCGATATCCATATTGGATGATACTCGACAGTTTATCGCCTATAACAAAGTAACTGAAGCACTAAACCTTACTTTTTCTTCGGTCTTTACCAGAGAACCAATTGATAACCTCCCTGATGTATCTCCCCTCAACTACCCTCCCATGGCCGATGTCATATTTTCACCTCAAGGCATCCAGAAAATCATCAAATCATTAAAACTTACTTCATCCTGCGGAATCGATGGCATCAATGCTAAGGTGCTCAAGAACACCAAAGAAATCACCAGCGTTATTCTTTCTCATATGTTTCAGCAATCGCTCCCATCTGGCACTGTTCCTCATCACTGGAATGTGGGTAAGATCGTTCTAGTTCCAAAACCGTGTTTATCTAGTTACCGACCAATATCCCTGACCAGCGTCTGTTCAAAAATAATGGAACATATAATTCATTCCGAAATTGCGAAATTCCTCGTCTCTGGTAAGTTTTTTCACCCTAACCAACGCGGATTCCAAAAAGGACTCTCATGCGATACTCAGCTTGCATTATTCATCCATGACTTAAGCGCAAGTGTAGACCTTAACAAACCAGTTGACGCCATTTTTATAAATTTTGAGAAAGCCTTTGACAAAGTTCCCCACAACCTCCATCTACTGAAGCTCTCTCAATTAAACCTCAACCAACTTGTCTACAATTGAATTTAAGACTTTCTCAATAACCGTCAGCAATCTGTAGAAGCTAATGATACGTCTTCATCCCTTTCTAACGTCATTTCTGGTGTACCACAGGGAACAGTTCCAGGCCCTCTCCCCTGTTAATTTACATAAATGACTTACCCGATAGTGTTTCATCTAACATTCACCTCTTTGCTGATGACTGTGTAATATACCAACCCATTACTAACGTTTCAGATAGAGTCATTATTCAGCGGGACCTACTAAAGCTTGGCGAGTTGTGCAGTAAATGGCTCATCGTTTTAAATACTAATAAAACGGCACTTGTTTCATTCCACAAACGCCAGAACTTTGCCGCTGCTAACCGTATAATTATTGACGGCACAGTTTCTTCCCTCAGCTGTATTGAATACCTTGGCGTTAACATTTAAAAGAATCTGAACTGGTCTTCTCATTTAAGTAAAATAACTAACAATGCTAACAAAACTCTTGGTTACTTTCGTCGTGACGTACATCTTGCCTCTGCTTCAGTAAAATTACTAGCCTACAAAACTCTGATTCGCCCAAAACTAGAATACGCATCCACCATTTGGGACCCACCACAAAGTAACCTATGTAAATCCATTGAACTCATTCATAACCGTGCGCTTAGATTCATTTATTCTGACTACTCATACCACACCAGTGTTACTACCCTTAAAAGTAAAGCAGGATTACCTAACCTTGACTTACGTGGTAAGATTTCTAGACTCTCATTGTACCACAAAATGTGTCATGCGTTTCATCATAACTCCGCTATTCAGCCAGCCCATCGGACTTCAGCCCGCACCAGTCACCACAAGGCCGTGTACTCCCCTCCTGCTTGCACTGCAGGCCGCCAATATTCCTTCTTCCCTCAGGCAGCCAGGCACTGGAACAATCTTCCCTCAAGGGTCGTCGAGCATTCCAACACAGATACATTTATGAATACCGTAGAATCGCTGTTTTACTTAATATTTATTGTTTGCCCACTCCCTAATGTAAAGCCCTCTCTTGAGGGTCTTTGAGGTAAATTAAATAAATTAAATAGAAAAACAAAAAATACACCTTTCAAACTTTGTTTTCATACTATAATTGATTGATTTGTGGGGTTTATCGTCCATAAACCACCATATGATTATGAGAGACGCCGTAGTGGAGCGCTCCGGAAATTTCGACCACCTGGGGTTCTTTAACGTGCACCCAAATCTGAGCACACGGGCCTACAACATTTCCGCCTCCATCGGAAATGCAGCCGCCGCAGCCGGGAATCGAACCCGCGACCTGCGGGTCAGCAGCCGAGTACCTTAGCCACTAGACCACCGCGGCGGGGCCTTTTCATACTATAATTTCTCGCGTTCTCAATTTATTCAGTATTGCTTTAACGCAACGCAAGGAGCAAGCAAGCCTCACTTAAGTAGCACACACACAAAAATTGGCTATTATACAAGCGCTATGTCCTGTTCACACCCAAGCATAATGCATGACACTCGGTGAAGACGAAACCATGAAAGCAGTATGTTTCTCTTATATCCCCACGTATAGGGCAGCGCAGAAACTACAAACAAACAAACAATAAACATATACGCTTTTTTTGGAGACTTTAAGGGTGCGTCTATGACGGCCAGACATTTCGTGCTGAATGCTGTGACCTGTCTTGCAGGTATGTCTAGAAAAGCTGTCAATACATTGCTAGTTGTCGCGTCCGAGATAACGCCGACACACCGTGCTCTTTTATCTGCGCACTTAAGTAAAGCGACAGTCTCTAGGGTGTGTGCACTGTTTTTTATTGTTTTTTATTCATTGGTACGTCACTGCATACGTCAAGGCGGGAACTTTGAATACTTTAGGTCGATACGCTACGTGGTCTCATTCACGCGAACTAAACAGCTAGTGTCCAGAAAAGCTGGATATGGACGGTGAGGCATACCGTGACGTGATGAGCCAGTGACGTGATGAGCGATCAGTCTCCGCAGCAACGATGAAAGTCTCCCGCTGCCCGACAATGCGTCCAGCGCGCCCCGCCATAGCCGACGGCATGGTTCAACCGTTCAAGACGAAGCTCCTCCAGAGTCTGCGCACGCGTGAGCTGCTGCCGGCGCTCACCTACCTTGCTGGCCGCATCATGACCGCATCGATATATGCCAAGAACTAGGACATTTACCTTAAGTGTGAAACACGCTGTACATGCAATTCATGGAAATAGAGGAGACTACTGCATCAAAGACAAAGCTCAAAACTGATATGTTCTCTCACAAAGAAAACATGCAGCGCAGACCTGCAAGATGAAATGAAACAAATTATTTTGCGATAAAATGTGTAGTGCAGAGGGCAAAGTTATTTTTAGAATCTGGGCACTGCAGCTTGTGCGCGGTGTTCTTGCTTCAAACTTTTTCACGAACCATAAGAGATACAAAGAAGAATATTCAACCAACTTTGATGAATCGGCTAGCATTGATATATTATTCTTTACTTCATACTGATAGCGAAGAACAAGGTGCAAGTTTTCTAAAAACGTTGGTATATCAGCAGCTTGGAAGAGTTGTGCGGAAGGATAATGTCTGGCTAAGTTGTGCACGATGAGTGAAGCCTTTATCTGTAGAACGTGGAGCTCTTTTACTGCTGTACGTGTGCCAGTGCCGCATACAAGTTGACAATAATTCACTTGTGGCATAAACAAAGATTTGAAGAGCAACAACTTCAATCAGTTAGAATAAAGTAACTTTTGCGGTATAAAAGACCAACAAAACGTGATACAGCTAAAACACGTGATTGATATGCACATCTTACATTAACTTCTCTGTAAAGCAGACACCGAGAGTTTTAAATGCTGGTGCAATTTCTATATTTTTGGAGCCATAAGCCAATGCTCACAAGATGATACAGTTTTAACTTTAGGGCGGAGCATGATTGATTCTGTCTTGGCAGTGCTAACTTCTAGCGCATTTCATTTCCACCAGCCTTCCAGGGCCACTAGCAGTTCATTACCTTTTTTTTTTATCAATTCGTCAGAATTTTTGGCACTGAAAAAAAACAACACTGGTGTGATCGGCATATATAACGTAGAATCATGAGCACTGACAGGGTCATTATTGTTTAAAGTAAACAAGAACGGCCTCAGTACACTTCCCTGCGGCACACCTGAGTTAAAACATTTGGGTGCACGTTAAAGAACCCCAGGTGGTCTAAATTTCCGGAGCCCTCCACTACGGCGCCTCTCATAATCATACGGTGGTTTTGGGACGTTAAACCCCACATATCAATCAAAACCTGAGTTAAAACGTAGCGTATGGATGCACTTACCTTATCGAGGCAAGAGGCACGACACTGTGCGAATCGGATCACTGCCTGCACTCTTTGTACTTCGTCAGCATCACGCGCACTCGCCGGCCGATACAGCGACAATGAAATGAACAAACCAGCGAAAACTGAACGTGCGAACATGCTGAACGAGCGCGGAGAGTGCGAATGACGAGAGATAGCAAGTGTCCGCGCTCTTGTAAGCCAATCGTTTCCCCTTCTAGTCATGATCCCGGACGTCGATTTCCTCCGTGCCCTAGCTGATGGTGTTCATTTCCGCAACTAGCCTGTAGGGGCGACAGCACATAAGGCGGAGATAAGAACAAACAAAGAAGCTAGCGCGCCAACATCCGATTGACGCTGCATAGATAAACTTTGCTGCTTTTTTATATATTGCAGCTGAATAAAGTCATATCGCGTTAAAGGAATGTCGGTTTTTATTTGCTGGAGGTACCACAGTTGCGAAGCATTTCATGCATTCAGAGTGCCCGTAAGACGACGTATTGGCAAGCTTTAATTGTGGCTTTTTGGCGTGAATAAGTGGTTACCATGTATGTACGTGACCCTTGCAAACAATATTTTGTGAGGCTCCAAGCAGGCTTCATCGAGAGAGCCAATGCAGTGTTCGTGCTTCGTAAGAACGAGGGAAGTTTCAAATCAAATTAAACTTTTATTTCATCTGAGAAGAGAGAAAGATGTTGGCGGAAAAAAGCTGCTCTACTGAAGGTTGAGTAAGCCTTGATGATGTACTTCAGCCACGAAATATACCAAACACAGAGCAAAAGAACACAAAACGGCAAGCACAAGCGCCGCTTCCAAATAAAGTAAACTGAGCGCAAGCGCGGAATTAAGTATACAACATACAGACATGCGCAGTCTTTCTTACGCTATCCAGCTATTGAACAATGTCTTTCGCGATGCGTACAACGTTTCTGACGTGTCGCTGATACACCGTTCTCCTTTCTTTTTAATGTAATAGGCTTCCATCAACTTACGTGCAGTTTTATACCTACATGTTTAGTTGGAAGTGCCGCTTGTATTTATTTGCTCTGTGTTTGTGATATTTCGTGATGGAAGTATGTCATTAGGCAAATACTAACTAGGTCAACAATAACTCTTGATACAATATAATGACTAAGCCCGGCCCCCTGTGTTATCGTTTCACAATGTGCAACATTGACTATAGGTATGGCAGTCTAATATAATGCTAGGTACTTTGCATAAGCATGAAAATTAGAGAAATTGTAACACAAAAGCAAAGACGTACATGTAGCAAGCTGAGCCTTTTCTTTTTCGTAATTATATAGATATATGCACAAAATAAATGTAGTAATGATATGAAGCAACAAGCAGCCAAATAGGAGAATGAAATGCAATGCTGTACTACATCAAACTCTATGAATTTCGGCACGAAAAGAACTTTCCTGTGGTCCCAGCCAACGCCCATTAACATACAGTGTAATGGGATATAGTTGTTGCTAAGCGACCTGCCGCCCATGGTCTTTACCACCCCGGCACACACACACACACGTGCGCACGCACACGCTACCCACGATGTCGTGCAAGACGAGAAAATTGAGCGCGGGTCCCACCTCTGGACGAGCCTGTGCTCCACACCACCAGCTTGTCAAATTAGCGGCGCGTCATATAACCTCCGCGATTTTGCTGCCCTCATCACCTACTTCAAGACCTCTGCACTCTTAGAACGCTTGTGACTTGGAGGAACTTTAGGTCCTCCCCACCGAGGTCTACGGGACTCCTATTACGTACCTCAATTTTTCCCGGTAAGAGGTTACGCGGCCAGTGCTTTACGCGCTCTCTACAACGCACCACCGGCCCGTTTGTCTTCCTTCTTTCAGCGACGATACTTCTCCGGCCTTTTTGGGAGCTTTCGTAGTCGGCTGCGCGTGAAGGCTTATGAGTACGCTGCGGGAAGCAGATCGAATGACCCGCATCACTGTTTTATCTCTTCTTTAGTCTTGTCCTTCCTATAGATGGCATCGGTGTTTGTAAACAAACTGGCTAGCGCCGAACGGCCTACCCCAGCCGACATGCGGTGTGCCACTTATGGCAATGCTTCTTCAACGGTCTTGGTGGTGTTTTCGTGTAGTGTTTGAGTTTGCTGCTCTATCATTTCTGGCGCATTCTTTAGGATGTATTTGGTGCCACGTCTAGGGGCCACTTGAAGGGGCTCGATGTAGTGCATGGCAGGTGCAGGTGTGGTCGCTGCAGGCAACACGGCTCGTGTGGCCGACGGGCGCCACACAAAAAATCCGCCGTGGTGTTCCGATGAGCGCAGCCCCCTCCTCCGTGTTACTTCTGGCAGTGGCCGCACCTGCAGAAGAAGCTTGTCAGCGAGCTTAATTGGGCAAGTTAGTTCTGCAAGTCGATGTGGATGTGTTTTGAAGACGTGGAGAGAGAATTGACAGCGCGCACCTGTGTTTTCCCTTTCCGCGTCTTCAAAGCGTGCCCACGTCGTTGACATGCAGGAGAAGAGTTGCCTGACCTACAGTGAAGTTCTTCATTTCAGCTTTTCGACTAGAACTGAAAACCTTCCTCCTGTCAAACACCGAATATATTTGTGTTTTTGTCTAAGCACTTAACCTCTAAATAAAACGGTTGTTTTTGCGCCTGTTTTACACCGGACACTCTCAAGATCATAGGGGTTCCGAATTTCTCGCGATCCGAAGTGTTCGTGTGACCGAGAAAATTTAAAATGTACTGGTTACGTGATGACAACCACAGGGGCTCGGTCATGCGAACTATTATGACTTACTGAGCTATTCATGAATTGAACGTTTAAAGTTTAACCTACCTAAGCCATGGTCACACCGAAATCTAAATAAGTTAGAATGCAGGGATACTAACTAGCGGCAGAAAGACAGGCGATGAGTCATTTGCTCCCAAAGATGATTGCCCACTTGCATGCGTCACTTTAAAAAAGAAATCAAATGCAACGACAATGAAACGTGGAGACCACGAGGTGCACAATGCGGCGATTCATGTAGAGCATGACTACTTTGTGTTCCATGAGGTTTCAAGCAGAACGCATCGTTATTATTTTTCAAACTATACGACAAACACCTTTGCGATACATTTTAAGTCTTCGCTTTCACGTTTTGTTACCCATTTCACGTGTCAGTACACGTATCTGCCACGAGTGGGAGACGACAGCGACTGATGTGTTCCCGGTAACCGGGACCTTCGACTAATCTAAGGTCTGAGTATCGTCTCTGTGCCATTAGTGTGCACAGAGCTTTACATTGCCTTTAAGGAAGAGGTAAAACAAGCCTACGCGTTCTTAACGAAAATCCACTTTTCTCTCGTGATCAGAACAGAACGTTCTGACTAGCATATAAAATTAGTTCAGGCTTGTAGACGGCATCCTGACTTGACAAAGCTGTGCCAGAGTCGTGAGCGCTACATCGAAATACTTCTATCCGCCTAAAACATCAGAACACAAGCAGCCGTGACCAACAACAAACGTCAAAACCATGCACGAACAAGCTAAACCGGATGTTTCCTGGGGTGGTTTCCCGGTGACCACACAATGTTGCCAGAGACTGCCAGGCTCTGGCGAAACCATCTGTATATTTTATTCCCCATTCCTGGGCCGACTTTTTGAGGTGTCCTCGTAAGTAGAGGCAGTTAAGGGTCGGCTCTTTTTTTTATAAGCCCTTATATTCGTACGAATCTGCTTGGTGTGCGTCCGTTTTGAGGTTACCGGTGGCTTTTCATCTTTTTCTCCCCTCCATGGCGTCAACGATAGCGTAAACATAGCGTCGTTGCACTGTGTTTAGGCGTGCCTGCTTGGCGATCCCAGCAATGTCCTTGCGAGCAGACATACTGTGTGTCAGGGCTGACAAGTAAAAAAAGAAAAACAAGACGGGAGCAAGACAAGATGAGGAATGAGCGAAAGGCCAAAGGGAAAAGCTGGGAGGAGAAGGAAGAGAAGGAAGAAGTGCACGCGGGGACGCCATATTAGGAGGAGCGCGCGCATGGAGGAAGTTTGGCGTGGACGACGAAGAAGGCGGAGATGTTCGACGCAGCCTGGGAAGAAGAAGAAGAGGCCATCACGTTCGGTTCTCGTTTCTCTGCGTTAAGTCCTCGTTCTGCTTGAGCCCCTGTCCCGTTGCTCGGCGAGCGTCTTTGCTGGTTTGATCGGCTAAGTACCGGGTAGTCTTCTTGTCATATAGTATATTTAGTGCCTTATCTGTCATTTAAAGCTGGATAAGCTTCTTTTTTTTCTTGTATGGCTTATTTAAAGGCGTACTGATGCCCAGGAATTCTCTTGGTCAGGGCCGTTCGCCATAAATGGCCTCTCTGCGGCATGATGATCTTCTTGACACGTTTCTCCGCAGTCGTGCGAGCAGCATTCCCGTCGCTCTGGTACGTTTGGGTGGTCACTTCATTAAGTTGAATAACCCCAAGACCACGCAAGAACACTTTCACGCAATGTCCCCTAACTACCAAACCATAACTGACATGCGGCATTTTGGTCTCGCTGGAATAGTATACAGATCGCCAGATCAAGAATGTGTAAGAGACCTCAAATGTTCGTCCTTCGCATCAATTCCGATGAGTGCGATTGTTCTACCTCATCTGGCTTGCACAAAAGGAATCGTACGAGGTGTTGACGTGCAGCTAAGCTCTGCTGAAACTCCAGAAAAGCTCTGTGGCAGGTGTGGCAGCAGTTTATGGATGCAATTGAGTTGTGGACAACAAGCGCATCGCAACAGAGTCCGTAATTGCAACTTTTGCTGGCACCTCATGTCCTTCTCAGATTAAAGCATGGCATCTGACGTTTCGAGTAGATCAATTGGCATCTCGTCCGTTATAATGCCGGAACTGCTGGAGGTTCGGTCATAGTGCCGGTGGCTGTAAATCAGAAGGGCGATGCAGGAAATGTGGTGCAGTCCACAAAAATGGAGAATGTATGGCAAAACAGGAAATGTGATGCTTGTGTGGCGGACAGCATGCTGCTGACTACTCAGATTGTCCAATTAGACAACCAGATATGCAAGTTCTTGTGGTCAAAAGGAGGATAAAATAAGATGCTCTAGAAGGGAGGCAAAGGCAATTGTTAAGAAAAGGGAGTATGGGTA